TGATGCACCCAGCAAGAGCACTGTGAAAGAAACAAGGCTATTCTAGGACTTGATATTTTAACAAACCAACACACTTAAACAAACAGAAAAAAGTTTTAAATATTACACCTGCCTGAGCTCGCTAAATGTTGCTTTTACAGTCATGTCTCTCCCTTGAAAATATTTTTTGTTGTGTACAAAATGCAAACAAGAAAAGAAAGTAATTGACTATAAGGTTCTGATAAACGCCCAAAGTTAACTTGGGAAAAAATATTCTCTGTTATATTCTCTGTTATAATATATCTCTGTTATAATTATCCTTGTAATCCTAATAAGATCCTGTGTTCTGCTGCTATAGCTTAGAATAGTGGTTCTCAACCTTTTCAGACTCAAGGCATTCCTTGTGAGATTCAAGACACCCTTCAAAAAATGCCAGCTTTAAGTTTTCACCCACTGTTTGACTACAGGAAAACAACAGAGCAACCTTTTCTGTGGCAAACAATTCTGAAAGATCACAACAAGCCAGAAAGAATTTAATTCTCTGTGTCACAACCCAAAGGGTGTGATTTTTATTTGTGTGTGCTTCGGCACTGCTAAATTGTCCCCGCTAAATTGCAAGCTTCCTTGCACGGTGGAGTTTTCTGCTGCAAAAGAGAACCCCGGTGCAAGAGAGAATTTCCCGCCGATTTGAAGCTTTCTTTGCAGGGTGCATTTCTATGTTGCAGCACAGAAATGCTCGTTGCAAAGAGTTCCCGCCATTTGTATGTAGATTTGGGTCCCATTATTGGCCAGTTCTAAATTATTCACACGTGGCGGCTAGTGATTGGCTTGCTAGCCGTATAAGAGGCTTGAGTGGTTTCCGCCCAAGTTGGAGGACTCCACGAACAAGGGAGGAGGAGACTTCACGCTGTGTGAAGACCTCTAAGCGCTGCGGATCCTCACGGACCCAGTGCATTTGAAGCAGGCTACGGAGATCTGATCAATCTCTAGCCTCTCCCCGTCGCCGATAGAATTCCTAGACATACCCCACCCGCGCGCAAAAGAACTGGACCCACGGAGCCTAGCAAACTTCGTGTGAGTTGGTTCAGAGCTCTTCCGGACGAGTACTTTCTTCGGCTGACGCGACGGGCTCGCGTGTTCAGAGCCTTCAGCCGGATTGGGCTAGAGTTCACGAGTCTAGAACTCTTGTCCGCCTCTTTCCTTTTTCTTCTCTGTAACTGCAACTGAAGCAAGCTTTCCAGCCTACACCATTGCCATCTCGGTGTAAGTAAACAATCTTTTAAACTACCGATACGCGTCCGTGCCTAATTCCAGAGCGAAAGCCTCCCCTTTCCGCCCCCGCGTGCCCGGGCTGCTGGCCACAGCCCGCGTGCAGCGCGAAAAAGGGCTCGGGGCGCTCCCGGCCCGCACACTCTGGATTTCTGTTTGGGTCTGAAATGTTTGCACGCCTAACAGTACTAACATTGTGTGGCATCTTGAGGTCCCTTTGAAAGGATCTTGTGGTAACCTTGGCTGCCATGGCACCCTGATTGCAAATCACTAGCTAGAACCTTGGTTACTACAACTATGGGGTGTGGACATGGGGAGGGGTGGATCCAGGATTTCCCAAAGTGGGGTGCAGAAGCATTAACCCATACTGTGGGGATGGCTGCACCCCCTGCTAGCACATGCAGACTTTTTTAAGTCCCTAAAGAAAGTGAGAGTCCCCCCTCCCTTCTCTTTCCTGCTCAGAGATATGCCTCCTCCTCTTGTCTTCCTCCTCCTTTCCTGCTCACATGCCTGTCTCTTCTGCTTTCTCCACTGATGGGGAGCAGAAGCTCCAGAGACAGCTGGGCTCAGCTGAGGAGGGAAAAGTAACAAGAGCTGGCAAAAGTATTTCCTCCCCACCCTGCTGAGAGCAGGCATAGGGAACAGGAATCCCCTGTCCCTCCTTGCTGCTGTTGTCCCTGTCCCCAGCTGAGCCTAGTCCCTGTGCAGCAGGCAGGAACAGCTCTGGTGCCTCCCTGCAGTGGGCAGGACAGGGGAAAGGCAGGCAAGGGGTGGGGTGGGAAGGCCTGGCTTTGAGCAGGAAGGGGAAGGGAGGGAAGACTTTAATCTGCTTTAGGGGCCTTAAAGGTCCCCAGAGGCTCCTGCGGTGCACTGCAATCCTAAAGTGGAGTGCAGTGATACCACTGCACCCCACTTGGATTCCCTTTGACCACATGTACATTTGGAGTCATTCTAAAGGAAGGGCAGCAGCTGTTACTTCCCAATTGTTACATCCTCCAGCCCCAGTCTCCTCCCCACTGGGATATGCACACCATGCCCCACGTACAGCACTTGGAGACTTAAGTTCCCAAGAAGGTGAGCATCCCCCCCACTTCCCTTCCCCTTTGTTCTCAGAGGCACATCTCCTCCCCTCGCATTCCCCATCTGCCTGCCGTTGCTGGTATCCCCTGCTGTCCATATTGTCTTTGGGGCAACAGAAGACTCTGCCCCACATCAGCTGGGCTGTGCAGGGGCTACGCTTAGCCTAGAATGGCAACCACAGTAGATGTGTGGGTTTCCCTTCCCCATGCCTGCTCTTGGGCTGATGGGGAATTCTGGTGGGGAGTAGGCAGGAATGGGAACTTGCCCACTTGCTGTAAGTGTCCTGGGCTGGGCCAAGGTGCTGAGCAACTTGGCTGGAGTGGGACAGGAGCTACCCTTGCCCACAAGGCTACAGGAAACCATCAGCGGTAGGCAAGGGAGGGAAGAATGGGAGAGGAGGGAACATACCTCTGAGCATAGGAGAGGAAGCAAGGGTGGAATACTTACCTTCTTCAGGACTTAAAAAATTCCCAGTTGCTGTTCCTGCCACATAGAAAGTGGGGCACAGTCATGTCACTGCACCCACTCTGGATGTACCATAGGCTCCTATTGTAAATGCATCTATACATTATGTCAACACAGCCACATCAGCCAGAGACATAATAGGGTACATGGGCAGCAGCATTTTTACATTCCCATTCTTCCCCACAAAGTGGCTGTCCAGGGCTGCAGTCCCAGTCGCTCCCTCTCCTTAGCTACACTACTGGTATCAACACAGCCTCTGTGAGTAGATGCAGTGTACGTAGCTAACAACTTCCTCACCTCTCCAAACACAAGTTAAACCACCAAAAACCCTCTGCTGTCAACTTAAATGCATCCATACAGCAGTTTTAATGGCATAGCTATGTCAGTTCGAAGGTGCAACTTTTTCCAGTTATCAGCACAGCTATGCCAGCAGGATTTGGTAGACCACTTCTGGCATTACTGAAGATTTTGTATAAAACAGGGCAGTTTAAAATTGATGGTGTCCACTAAGTGATGACTTCTTAAATAGTCATGTGAGAGACTCAGCTTCGCTCCTTCCTTTAAGAGGCTGGCTTTCTCTTAAACCTGTCTGCACAGCAGGAAGCCACCTTTGATATCAGCCTGGTTACTTTCCTAGAACCATGCTAAATTTTTCAGTCACCTGGTAGGTTTCAATGTCTCTTCACTTTTAGCAAGAGGGTTAATTTTTCAGCTGGTATTACAGAGCTGATCCTTTTGTATTGTAGAAGCCTCTTTCTTTTAAAAAGAATGAATTCATAGCATCCATCTCTGTGAATAAAAGTCACCTTTTTTGCCCAAATGCTTTGTACCTACAACAGTTACACCTATGATTACTCTAACTAAAACATACTAGAGGGAAAACACTACATTTCTGTGTTTATTTTTAAACTGTAAACACAAAATGCTAGCACATAAGCAGTTTCATTATTTTGATGGCCAGTTATAATATCAACTTCTTGCAGCAGTTGAACCTCATAAAGTACACACTATTCTTCCAGGACTTGCAGAGTCTTATCAGTAAAAGCAAAAAATAAATGGCAAGTTCAGCAGCACACATGCTCCTTGTCAAAGAATGGAACACCACCAACTGGAACATGCTTTTGCTGCTCTCCAACCTGAGCAAAAGACCACTATTAGCTGAGAAGTCCGCAAAAATATTCAAAAATTTTAATAAAAAAAATACAGTAAAGGAAATTTAGCTGCTTTTTTTTTTTTAAATCAAAGATGCATCTTTTTCAGGTTATTAATTGAAATGGAATTTGACAAAGGCTTCTTACTACTTTAAAAAAGCAAAATGAAAAATTGGCACATCATATGAAAAGACAGACCTGCTAGCTGACACTAGTGACCGATGTTACAGATATTAACATGCAGTCTGAGAGAAAACATCAAGAATTTGTAGTTTCATTTTGTCATTCAATTCCAGACTATATCATTCACTCACTCTTGCCTGGGGTGTATGATGAAATGAATCATGGAGGAAATAGGTTGTCCGTTTACAACAAACATAGGGTTGGGTTTTTTTTTTGGTTTGTTTTTAATCACCACTAGTGCCCTTTTTTTAAAAAAAAGAATAAAGAATGGGTTGCAAAATTTCAGGGACTAGTTAGAAGACACTATGCTTGTTACAGATGAAGAAAGGAATGCAGTTTAGGAATTTCAACTAAGAATTACTGGTCAACCACACTACAATATGGTATTAACGCTAGTACATAACCTTTACAATAAACAGTGACAGGAGGGCTGAGTATTCTAAATAGTTTTTCACAATATGATAGCTTTCTTCAGCTTTTACATTTTTAAATTTTGATGGTTCAGATTTTTTGTAGTCCAGAGCTAGTGCAATAAATAATACAATTCTAAAAACATTTAAAAAGTTTCAAAATGTTGCATTCAGAAAAACTGGAGTTTGAAATCTGACCAGATAATAGTCTTGAGGGAAAAAAAAGTGTCCTGGGTTAACTTAGATAAATTTTACACAGGCCTAGACAATGAGTTACTAAAAAGAAAATGAAGTACTATTTTTAATTTCCTGTATCTCGATTGAAATTATTTATTCTGAAAGATTACACACACATGCTAGCCTTTATGACAACAATACTAATGATTATGAAACACACTTAACAAATATTTTTTTTCCTAAAAATACACAAACTGAGACTACATACCAAAAATAGATTTCTTACCTGACAGAGTTATGTTGCCTGTTTTCTACTTTCATTAAAATCTGCACATCTGACTCAGGAGACATTGTGTAAATTTTTAATCTGAAAAAGGGAAATGTGTCATAACTGATAGTACCTTGACAGTCTCATCAAAAGGCAGTCTAAAGCATCTGTTACTTTTAAGAGAGTGTACTATGTTTTTACAAGTCAATAACCAAAACAGTATTCTTGTCTATGAAAATTCAGGCTTCCTGATAGCTATTTTTTTTGATATTTTATAAAAATGGCTCTGATCCAAAATTGTTTTTCTTTAAGTAACAATGCCATAATTTAAAACAGGGGTAGGAAAAGTCTGGTCCATGGACTGGATCAGGCTTGCGGCAGACTCCATTTTCCAGCACCCCTGCGGCAGCAGCTCCTTCTGGCTGCTGCCACTGGACCAGCCCTGCTGCCTCGGCACCCTGGCCCATCTGACCCTCACCCACCACTGAAGGCAGGACCCATGAGGGCAGGGCAGACAGCTGGGATGGGTCCACAGCTGGGAGCAAGGCAGGTGGGTCAGAGACCCAGGATCTTGCTGTGGTGACAGCAAGGGACCGGAACTAGGGCACAGCCGCGATCCACTGCCCGCATGCAGCATGTGTGGATTCTGTGGGCAGGGGCGTGCAGGGAGCAGATCACAGCTCTACCCCAGCTCCGGCCCCTTGCTGTCACAACCACAAGATCCTGGGTCTTCCCAGCCCCAGAGCAGCTCCCCACCCAGCTGTGTGCCTTGCTTACAGCACTGCCTGCTGGTCACCCTGGAGACCCTGGGAGATGGCCTTGACAGTACAGGGCCATGACAGCGCAAGGCCAGGGCCAGGGCCAAGCCCTGGTTCTGTGGCCCTGTGCGGTCACAGGCCCGCCACTCCTGGGGTCTTCATGGAGACAGCCAGGAGCTGCATGAGCAGGAGCTGCTGGGAAATGGAGTCCAGCCACCAGCCAGATCTGCCATTTCTCCCACCTCTGATTTAAAGTAATACTAGAAATCCAAAGACTATTGGGCTATTAATTTCATCTCTACTTTTAAATAATTGATTTTTTAAAGTTTTACTGATTTAGATTCAATGGCTATTTGAGTTCACTCAAAGAGTATTAAAGTTGATTTTCTTCACAAGGATGAAGAGTGCATTATTAGATTGTAACTCACTTTTGTGGAGTGTGGAATAAAAGTGGGAAGTTAACCATTAAAGAGATTTTTCTTAAAGGTTTGGCTATTTTAACAACTAATCACACCTACCTTTGACGAATTACAGGATCAGACTCTACTGGATCAACATAATGCTTAAGGATTTCACCTAGCATTTTATCATCTGGCACCCTTTCACCAAAAAAAGGAAAAAAGAAAAATAGCAGCATTATAATTTATGACTCATTATGCATGCAAAGAGCAATACGAGATGGACTAGTCTCTGTGGCTATATGTGACAGGACTAGGAGCAATGATCTCAAAATTGAAGCAAGGGAAATTTAGGTTGGATATCAGGAAGAACTCTCTCATTAGGGAAGAGGTTATACATTAGCACAGCCTACCCAAAGAAGTTACAGAATCTCCATCCTTGGAAGCTTTTAAGAGTAGGTTAGGCAAACAGTTGACAGGATGGTTTAGTCAGGGTGATCCTGCCTTGTGCAGGGGACTGGACTAAATGACCTCCTGACATCTCTTCCAGTCCTACTATTTTATTTAATGATTTATGAAAGCCAATTTCAGGAGACTGTATTTACATAATCCTGCCCAGTCCAGTAATATATACAAGCAGTACATGCGCATCAACATGTCACAAGCAGTTCTAGCACACATTGAACACTAGAACTTAATTGGCACCTGGAAGGAAATGGAGAACTTGCTTCTTATTCTCCACTCACCCCTGAGGCTGGAAAGGGTACATCCAGTTCCTGCAGCATTAAGCAGGAGAGGAACTACTAAGATTTTTCTAGCCCCAAAGTCACATGACCAAAGAATTAGTCAATAATGACATCTGTACTTCTACTTTCACGCAGTTTGTAGTATCTGTTAAAAGACAAAACTGCAGGCATTCTATCAACTATGTTTAAGAGTATGGGTATCTTACCAGAGAGACACGTTTACTATATAGCTTATAAAAAGATGTTGGGAGTATGGCTAGACACCACCATATCATCATGCTTGTGAACAAAAAGTATCACGTTTCATACACAAGCTGCGCTATTCAGTGCAAACAAAATATTCAGTTCACACTTCTAGGTGAAACAAAACCAACTTAAAAAAAATCAATCCTAAAGGTCTCTTCATTAAGAGTGAAAAAGAAAGCTTTATTTATTCACATTACTATGTAAAAAGACATAGCTGAAAACATCAAAATAGTTGGAGAGAACTTCTTTCAAATGACATCAATCTGTTCATCACATTCAGGTACCTTCGTATTGTGTATTCAGCATGACAGTGGGGAAACACAAGTTTCAGGTGCCAGTAAAATTTCTGTTCCCTAAAGAGAGAGAAAAGTTGAGTACATTTCAAATGCATTACAAGTATTAGTTAACAACTGTTGCTTATTATTTATATTATGCTAGTCTAGAGACTTTAAGCGAGATGATGGCTTTTGTACAGCTAAAAACAAAAGGTTACAACATAAATAGCCATTATTCCCATGTTACAAGATAGGAATTGACGCACAGAAAAAAAATGAAGCAATTTACTGGAAGATAGCCCAGGAAGTACTAGAGAATTATTAGGAAGTAGAGACAGAAATTAAACCCAGATCTCCTGAATCCCTTCTAGTCCAGGTCATTAATCATAAGACCATCTTTGGTCTCTAGCCAGTACAATTACCATATTTTCTTGCATATAACATACCTCGAAATAAGATATGAAGCTTGGTTTTGAACGGCAGAACAAAGAAAAAAAGACCTGGTGTTGAAAATACTGTTAAGTACTGCATGGTGTTTTCTCAGGGAAAGCACAGGCACCTGCAGAAGCAGAACACTGCAGCTGCTCGGTTAACACCCTAGCTACAGGACATTACAAGTGTTGCCAACTAAGAAACTGGCTGAGCCCCCTCCTCTTCTCAAGCTGAGCTTTGCAGACAGCCAACAGCATCTGCCAGAACAGAGGGGGGAAAGGCGGACAGAAAGTGGGTCACTTTGCAATGGCGAGCGAGATCACCTAGAGCATTGGGGAGATGCTTCCTTTCGATGGCCAGCCCTTATTCTTAGTTGAGCGGCCAGGGTTCAGGCAGCTCACGGCACTTGTGGCCCCATCCTACCATGTGCCCACCTTCAGTAGGAGAGTGGTATCATCCCTGTATGAGGCATGCAGGGAGTACTTGAGGGAGGAGCTGTGAAAGGCAGGGCCGCAGGTGGCCTTACACTTCACCTCAGACATCTGAAGCAGCCAGGGTGGTGATCACGGCTATCTCCCTCACAGGGCACTGGTGCGACCAGTCAGGCCGTCGGTGGGCTCTCCTTCAAGCAGAGGCGATGGATGAGTCCCACAGGGCAACCGAGATCACAGGGGTCATGAACCACTTGGTGCAGGGGTGGCTCGCTGGGCAGGGCGAGCTGACCCACAGGTTCATTGTCACCAACAATGGGGCCAATATCGTCAAGGCAGTCTGTGATGCCAACTTTGCTGGCACTGGCCGTATGGAACACAAGTTCCACCTCATTGTCAGGGACACCTTGGAGGGGGACAGGGCTGCCGGTGATGTCGCCAGCACCAGCACTGCCAGCAAGCTCATTTCCAAGGGCAGGAAGGTGGCAGGTTACTTCCACCGGAGCACTGGGGTGGGGTGGGCAAGATGCTGCAGGACAAACAAGCAGAGCTGACCAGATATCCTGCAGCACAAAATCATGCAAGATGTAGAGACTTGGTGGTACCCCACATACCTGATGCTCGAGAGGCTGGTGAAGCAACAGGCCATCCATGAGATGGCCTTGCTCGGGGAGATTGGGATCAATGGCCCCCTCAACAGAGCTGAGTGGGATACCATTTCCCAGATCTTCACAGTACTACTATTCAAACGAGCTTGGGTGATTCACTTCACTTTTTTTTTAAATCACGTTGGTCTGAAAATAAACAAGAATTGTTACGCAGAAAGGAATTAGCAAGGTAAAGTGAAAAACAGAGCTTACAACTGGAGGGTCTTTCAGCCTTAACTAAGATATTAAGTCATCGTGCACTATAAGGCTTTCATAGCAAGTCTGAATAACTAGAAAAAAATTCTACTACACTGTTACTATCTCCGATTACAGCAAAGCACCCCTTAACATCAGCAAATTCTGTAAGTTAAGGTGATAGGACTGTTCATAGCAGATATTGCTGCAATAAAGCCTAAAGCAGATTCATAACTAGTTAATATTAAAACCAAGGAACTTGGGTCCAGGTTCGACTGACTTCATTTTCCATTATGACTCAGTTGGGTAATATTGTCTTCAAATATAATTGACACGTACTGTACTCATTTTGTACATGATACAATTTAAATCACAAAAGTCAACTGAAGTTGAGCAACAGATCACTACTGGAAGTGCCCCATGCCATTAAGCTACCATGGAATGCCACTTTGTGGTTGTTTTAAATACCAAAGTAATGATTCTAAAGCTACCAAATAGCATAGTTTTGGATGAGATAAAGCACACTCTTGAGGTCAGCAATATTCAGATTTAATTCCTATTGTGGGTATTTCAAGCAGGAACACAGTATTCTAAGCCCAAATAAAATATGTTGAACTGTAAATGTCTCTACAAAGCAGGCAATTTGATTTTCAGTTGTTCAAACTTGTTAGGAGATACTGTTTTCCCTAAACAAATACTCCCCCCACCTGACCCAAATTATTTAATATTTGCATTTTTCTTCAGTAATTTCTTTATACATGTATACAAGCTATTTTTTCTGCAGGCAGCAAACACCAAGACTGTTGTCATTTTGAATTTTTAAATACTTGAGGCACTCCAACAATATGGTGGCAGCAGCTAGATAAATAAAAAACAGGATAATAGTCCCTTCCTGGTAGGATCTTTTGGATGTTATAGGCAGCATGTAGGTGAAATGAGGGCATGTGTGCACAACACTTTAAAGCATGCTAAATGCTTTTGCACCGCTTTAATGGTGTCGGCGTTTGCATACGTCGGCGGAGTATTGTGAATTAATTACAGCCGCTGTAGGAAATTCAGCAGCGTAATGCGGTGAGCCTGATCTATTTCCCCCTCCCCACCCCAGAGCCTGCCTGCCAGAGCTGCGCAGGGGCCCGGTGCTTCCCTCTGCAGCTGCGGTGCCCCCCAGGACCACCCGAGCTAGGTGCCTGCGGTCAGGTGGCTGCCACTGCTGCGGAGGGAAGCACCAGCCCCCCCCACAGTCCAGGGACCACTCCACCAGCCGGCAACTCGCCCTCCCCTCCCGGCTGCTGGAGAGGCAGGTAAGTCAGCAGGGTGTGTGCATGACACAGGGGTTTAAAGGGCCCTAAACTGAGGTGGTGTTTTTAAAAACCCACTTCAATTTAGGGCCATAGTCACCAGTCTTTACAATGAAACAGTTTCTATTAGCACACACTGCAATTCAGATAATTGTTGTAGACACTGAGAGAAAGATATTTAAAAATATTTAGAAACGCAAGATGCCTAGTGGGATTTTCAGAAGTGCTTACTTCTCATTGATTTCAATGCTTATGTTAGTGGTTCTCAACATCATTAGACTCAAAACACCCCTTGCTAGACTCCAAACACCACTCAGAAAACGCCAGCTCTTCATTTTCACTCATTTCTCCGCTACGGAAGAGTAATAGAGCAATTCTTCTGTTGCAAACAACTCAGGAATCCAGAGGGTCAAAAACATTCTGCCCTATTGTGGTCTTTCTATTTGAAATCTTTAGGTTTATCTTGTGTGTCTGCCCACCTAACAGTACTAGTTGAGAATCACTGGCTTGCTTGCTTTCATAAATCCCATTAAGTATTTAAATATCTTTTAAAATCCTACCCTAACTTTCTAGCAGCACCTCCTGGCTACCAAGTAGTGCTCTGCTAACCATTACTTCAGATACCTTGCATCTGTGATTTACTTATTTTGTCACTTAGGAACACAATCTTCCAGAAGTGAAGCAAGAACACAACAGCAGTCTCATCTCCCTGCCCTTGGATCCACAGCACCCACAGAGATAAAGAGGGGGAAAGACCCCTCCTTTGTGAGGCTGCTGCTCTAAGAGAAGCAGCACTATGCAAGCAAGCTCAGAGATTTAGAAATGTGTATATCTGGAGGGTTGAAGACAAAGAGCTTTGGGGTTTTCTTTTCTTTTCTCTTCTACTGGTATAACTGATTTACAGAGACAAGGGGAGAATCTAGCCCTGTGTTTTTCCTTACTCATTCACAAGTAAGTATATATTAAAATGATATCCGTCTCCAAAATACAGCACACATCTTTTGCTAGTTAATCTAGAAATCACGTGTCTACAATTTTAGAAGATTTGAGATCAACCAAACACTGCACAAGAGTCAGAGTGACCACTGACACCACCCCCCGCCCCGGTAAGGCACCAGCAAAGCAGATCAAGAAAACTAGATTTTTTCCCCATCAAGGTAGCCCTTGTTTTAATGTTTACGTATACCTGTCCTATGTTCCTCTCTCTGGATCCCTTCCTGGATACACTCTTTGAAGGCAGTTGCGTGATTAGACCATGCCCATCTTTTTGGAAGCAATTTCATTTTATTTTATTTAAATTAAATTCCCCAACCAGGGTCACATATTTATAACCTAACACTACCAATGTACATAAAAGACTGACTTTTTTCATTCCTACTTTAATAATGTATGAAAAAAAACAAATTTAAAATTAGGTTGACCACAAATTAGGATTTGTGCATAGGACAAGGGGAGACTGCCTACTGAGGGCTTGGGGTCAGCAGCTGTGTCAGCCTCTCCCCAGTGGGGGGCTGGGCTCAGCTGCATTTGGGGGTGGGGTGGGGGACAGTGGTGGCAGTGCTGGGAGGGGTGGCTACAGGGATTTCTGGGATGGCTATAGCCCACCAAGCTCCCCCCAGCACCTCCCCTGCTTGGAGCACTTCACTCTGCTACCTTTCCCTTGCCATAGCTCCGCCCCCATAGCCACTCCTAGTAGCGCCACTGCCGCCTGCTCCACGCAGATGAGCTGGCCCCACCCCCACTCACCCCGACCCAGCCCCACCATGGGGAAGAGGCTAGCACAGCCCTTGGCTCCAAGCCCACAGCAGGCAGCCGCCCTTGCCCCACACATAAATCCAGGGAGGCACATGCCTCCAGGGGTGCATGGACCACACACAAGTTGAAAACCACTACCCTACACTAAAACTTGTTTATATTTGTCATTAAGTTTACATAAAACTTGCATAAGTTTACATAAAACTGGCAGGTCAGCCAGTCTCAGGCTACGGGCTGAGAAGGGACAGGAGGATCTATGTGGTCAACCAAAGACTGCAGCGCTGGTGTTGTCAGATAGGCTTTGGCTTTCATGACCACAG